CGGGCAATTTTTGATTAAAGGCAAAAACTTTGGTTCAAATGGAACGCCCGCTAGACAATATATATTGAAAATGTTATCTAATTCCTGCCACTTAGTTTCCAGAAGAACGGAAGACAAGGCAAGAGACGGATAGGATTTACGAAGTTTAGCTTTTCCTATACGTGCAGTTGTAATCTCCTTCATCAAATATCTAGTAACTCGAGACTTTGCGCCAAACTTTACTAACATGTATTCGTATACGATCGGTGGATACTTCAGAATCGTATAAGCTTGGGGAATCGAACCATTGCTCATATAAACGTCCAAGGGATTCTCAATACCGTTTTCTTCAATATGAAAAAGAATTTTCTCTTCGGGCTTATCAATCCGATTGATAACAAATTCAAGTGAATCATGATGCTTGAATGTTCTTTCGGAATTCAAGAGTTCTTTTAAACAAATAGGAAGTATGTCTTTTTTCTTAACCATGGCGAACGCACGGACAAGTGTGTCTCCTATGTTTCTAAGCTTACGCTTAAATAATAATATCAAAATGTCTCCAATCAAGGCATCCGTCAATTCGAATCCAAGTGATATTAGACTGTTTAGTTTCTCAACGACTTGATCTGCGTCTGGTTCTATCCAATCTTCGGGAGGACTTGGTGGGTAAAGGAGAAGTAACGATCCTTGTATGGCCAGGTCGTTCACATCGCTAACTACCTCATGATACCCGTTTTTCTTCCAGATATTAACTAATTTGGGATAGATAACTATAGCACGTGCGATGACGTTAAGTTGTCTCACATTCTCATATCCATCAGATAGCGGATAGCCATCAAAATTAGTAACACGTGACTCTGACTCTATATCTGAATAGAAAAGCCCAATTTTCTCGCCTTTCTTTTTCTCGAGAATATTTTTCGGTCTCGGAGGGAAAGGAGCAAACTTGTACTTCCGAATTAGAGTTTTGATCTCCCTTTTGTTTTCCTTCAATTTAGTTCTCGCTTGACTGATACCCGAAGGCCCGGCTGATAGATAATAAAAGGACTCCATGTCATTCCCTCGGACATTTCCATCAAACCGATCATGACCCTCTTTGAGAATTCGGGAGTAAACATCAAAAGACAGATTGCTCGCCCACGGACTCTGAATTTTGTTTTGAATGAAAATTTCCCGATGAGTGCTTATGTTATGCGCAAGCTTGAGATCAAAAAGCCCGCTATCATATTTGCCAAATCCAAGCACAAGTCTTTGAATAAAGTATCGACTGATGTGAGCTTTCTGCGCAAATAAACATTCAACTACATTAAGATTAATAAAAGTTTCACCCATTCTTACTGCATGAAATAATGCATGGGTTCTTCCATGCCTGACGATCAACCATTTAGCTTTTATGTAAGGTAGATTTACGGTGTTGTTCCATTCACGTGAACATTTGGCAAGAGGCGTAGGATTTCTCAAGTGGAGAATAATTTCCACTTTAAGCTCTGGTGGTAGATTATTCAAACACATACGTGGAGGGATTGTCCTTTTTTGTTGCACTCCTTCCTTCTCTTTCTTTGTTTCCTTAGTGTTACGCTTTCTAGGAGTTTGCACTACCGGATCAACTGAACTCAAAACCGGGACACGAATCGTTCTTGGTGGCATGATTATATCATGTGCAATGACATACCCATCAGATGGCGGATAGTCATCAAAGTTAGCAGTACGTGATGATGATTCAATCTCTGTAGACTTTAGTCCAATTCCTTCACCTTCTTTTTTCTCGAGAATATGCTTTCGGATTTTCGGCCTCGGAGGAAAAGGAGCAAACTTATATCTCTGAATCAGAGTTATAATCTCCCTTGTATTCTCTTTCAATTTGGTTTTCGCTTGACTAATAACTAATGGCCCAGCCGATAGATAATAAAAGGATTCCATATCATTTCTGCGGACTGGAATGTCATTCCCGTCAAATCGATCATGTCCTTCTTTAAGAATTCGGGAAAAAACATCGAAGGAAAGATTGCTTGTCCACGGACTGCGTATTTTGTTTTGAATGGACTTTTTCCGATCTGGATCCAGATTGCCCGTTAATTTGAGATCAATAAGCCTGCTGTCATATTTGCCAAATCCGAGCACTAGTCTCTGAATAAAGTACCGACTGATGTGCGCCTTTTGTGCAAATAGACATTCGACTACAGACAGGTTAATAAAGGGTTCGCCCATCCTTACTGCGTGAAATAATGCATGGGTTAGCCCATGTCTGCCGATCAACCACTTGGCTTTGGTCGCCGGTAAATTTATAATATTATTCCATTCACGTGAGCACTTGGCAAGTAGTGTAGGGTTTGGCAAGTGGAGAATAATTTCTACTTTCAGCTCTGGCGCAAAATTATCCAGACGCATGCGTGGCATAGTAACCATCCAAATGTGAGGTGAAAGCACCTCCGAATGATTACGCTGGGCAGTTGAGATGACATCTAAAATCAATCGTTTAGCAGGTTCGAGCGTTAATGGTCTAGAACGTCCATATTCAACAAAATAGCACAGCTTGATATTCAATACCTGTATGGTCGGGGAAAGTTTCGTTGGCCGAAAGCATTGGAATCAATGAGAACGCAATATTTGAAAGCCATGAAGCGTTTGCGGGCCCGGTATTTTTATACAGTACGTATATCGTGTGGCATACCACACTTCTGGGACTTATCTAAAAAAGGGAATAATCAAAGGGCTGATCAGCAGTGCGCACAAAAAAAAAAAAACGACTTTGCATAACAATGCCTAATTTTTAAATATATTAATAATCACTTGACTGCTAAAATTTTTAGGGAGTATTTCGTCAAGTTATTCGATGTGTCATAGACGTTAGAACCATAGAAATGACGTTAGTTATTAGGTTCGCCCAGAATTGCAAGCAAGTGCTATTATAAGAACAAATGCTACTATATAGTAATCATACGGTATGACTCAATTTTCTCGATTGGCTCGATTTAGAATATTGTTATTCAAAACAACAAAAACATGGTGTCTTATTTTAGTTTGGGAAATGGATGTTATCTATCTAACATTGTCTACCACCTTATCAGTGTTGAAGGCATGGCATGATGCGCATCAGACTCAATATTAGTAATCAAATATTGTCCGTTGGTTTCTTCCCTCACAGCATAAACCAGATTCTACAAGTGAAACGTTTTTAATACACGGAGAGCGAACTATGTATAATTACATTATCGTTATTATTGCTTAATATAATGTACGCACTAATAGTGAGCTGTTTGAGAATATCTGACGCTGTTAAGGAAAAGATCCTTTTAAGCTGAGGGGAAAATAAGCGGACTCATCAAAGGAGCTGATGGCGCAAGTTTACGTTCTCATCAAATATGCCTTCTTCGAATTTCGGACCGGTTTTCTGGAGATACAAACTGAAAATTTTTAACATGTCTTCGGATTTCAGTCTTGGATGATCGTTCTTTCTGAAGGTACAAACTGAGGTTGTTTATTGTAAATGACAAGTATTTGTTTGGGTAATGTTTTTTGCCTCCTGTTTTCAAGTACAGAAATAATAGCATTCAACATATACGCAATCAATATACGGTACGGCAAGTCACGCAATTGATACCAAAAAGTTGAGCGTACTTACAATAGTCAATTCTGTCTTAACAGAGACAGGTCTTCATTAAAGGTGGTTTCGTATGACTAAAGAAACTGTTTTAATCCCAAAACGTCATAATAACGGTCATGACATAATATTAGTCATGAAACCGGATCTCTAATATACATATACATACAGAATACATACAACGTACATACATACAAACATACATACATATTGTCTATTCATTCAAGTCATCCGTTTAAAGCTCATATATAATTGCTCCATCTTCCTCTTGATGAGTCGGTTGAAATTTTCATCTAGTGGAAATAATACGCGCAATTTCTGATATCGTCAGTAACACAAATCTTTGAATAATGCATTAGTTTCATTATTGTTGTTAGCATTACGGGAGTTGCTGCGATTCTGCGTGAAACCGGATCTCTAATATACGTACATACATACATACACACATACAGTATATATTGTCTATTCATCCAAGCCATCTGTTTAAAGCTCCTATCAAAATGTTGATAATTTCTTGTCTCTAGAGGAGAAATTCAATTGTTCGTGTACAATTAGTAACACAAACCTTTGTATGATGCTTGGTCTTCATTATTGTTGTTAAAATTGCGGAAGTTACAAACCATCGGCTTTTGCCTTTCTATACTAATCTTGAAACGAGGTCATATTACGTTATCATCTTAACTAATCTCTGTAAGCATGCCTAAAAACAGGCAAAAGATTATCATGAGAACGAGACCGTTGCACTAATGATGCACCAAAATGTTGTTTTAGTGAATGATTTAAGCAATCATACAGTATTTATTAAATAAAGAGAGAAAAAAAAACCTAAAAACTTTATTATTATCAGTGTTTTACGTAATCTTATGTTTACCGCATTGCATTATCATCTGTAAATTTCCCAGGACAAACTGGTGTAAATCGTTAAAAAGTACTCTATAGGTTGTCTGAAATTCACTACAATCATACGCTAAAGGAAAAAAATACTGGAATTACTTCACCGACAAAATTTCCCCAACATTATTTCGAAGTTATCATTCTGCTAGTTTTTGGTGAAAGGTCCCTTCTCAAACGTCTTAGTTTGGCAAAACATCAACTCCGCCCACATTTACAAAACACAAGGCTTATTAAATGTAACCTTAACATTGATCAAGCATACAGTATTAATACCATTCAAATGTAGCACAAGAACCGAATTTATTTAATGTAATTAGCATTTATCACTAAATCGATATAAGATTTTGGTATAAAGCCTAAATCTTGCTTAAAATAATTGTATTACACCTGTCGACATTAGTCGGCCGGCACAATTAGACTTTCCTAATTATACTAGAAAATGCATTTGCTTATTTACAATCTTAATGAAATATCATAATGCTTAAGAATCATAGTGTTGTCAACACAACCTATAGAGATTGTCTCATTAAATACCAAATTCATTTCCTACACAGTAATAGCCGTTTCCTTCAGGAAAATTCAAGATTACACCGTTGCCAATACCGTTATTATGAAGTACGTGGCCAATGCTACTGTTGAAACCGTTGCCAGCGCTGCCGTTTGTGTGCTGCATTACGAATTCATTACTTGCTCCATAGCATTCGTTTATGTTGCCATATTCGTCATATATGTTACTTGCGTTCATAAACATGGCATTATTATGTACACCAATGCCATTGACATTCCCATCGGTATTCGCTCTCATACTACTTAAGTTACTTGCGTGAATTATATTGTTAGCAACATTCACATTTGGTATATTGTTGCCGATATTTTCTAATCCGGTCAACATTTGATAATATTCTTGCAAGTCGCCATGCATTTCTCCATTTCCCTCGACTCTGCCAGTGATTGCATTGGATGTCCCGAGCGATAACATGCTCATATCTGGATACCATTCAGCAGTCGGATCAATTTTGGGCGTATCCATCATTTCCGGATATAAATACATGTCATTATGACAATTGCTACTAGCATAGCCAGTATTACCGTTATTAATAACATCAAAATTACTCTGAATATGTCTTTCGTTATCATTGTGGAAGATGTCGTTGGCTTTGATGCTGGTATTGACGTTGACGTTGGCGTTGGTATTGTCGTTATTGATGTCAGTGTTGTCATCGCTATTGCCATCGCTATTGCCATTGCCATTGCCATTGCCAGTACTATTGCCATTGATATCATTAGTGTTATTAGTATGGCGGTTGCATGCTTTGCGACGTTTTGAAGACTTCGTTCCTGGTCTACTGGGCTTATACTTATATCCAGGATACTTTTTCATATGTTCTAACTTCTTTTTGTCAGCGCATCTTTGCCAATGTAGCTTTATGTGATCCGGTTCGTTTTTCCACATTTGAGCCAACTTCCTCGAAATTTCAGCATTCTTCAGTTTTTTTTCTTGTTTGATGATCGAAGGCTGCGTATGCTGACGGTAAAGAATAAACGCATTCGGTGGCCGAGGAGCACGCTTAGTCTCAGTAAGAGAAATTTGTGAAGCAGTTTCATTCATAAATAAATTGGACACTTGATTGGATAATACAGGTACAGTCGAAAGAGATGACTTAGGCTTGTTTGAGGAGATCGCTGGTGAGGAGGCCGATGGGAGTGCAAGCGGAGACGGGGTGGATTTTAGAGGGAGAACTTGTTGATTCAGTGAGATAGGCGAGGTAGAAGGTGGTTTCGAGACGTTGTTACTGATGCTTGTATTAGTGTCACCCATAGCAATAGCACCAGAATTAACGATAGTAGTGGCAGTACTACTATTTTTCACAACCGCGCCGTTCGTTGACTTGGGAGGAGGCTTACATTTACGTGGCTTTACTCGAATAGGTTCGACAAAAGAAGTGAGTACAAAGTTGTCTTGTGTTTGAATACAACTGTTTTCCAGAGATGTAGTGTAGTCAATCATTAATGGCATTGGTTGACTTGCTTTGCGTGCGTTGTATGCAGCAGAGGACGGATCAAATTCAAACATGATAAGACTGCAATGTTTTTTCTTTGCTGCTTCATCCATGGCCGTGGATAGGAGCAAATCGAATATGAAGGTGATGATAAATAGCAGAGAAAAAAGCAAGAGAGAGTAAAGAGTAAAAGAGGAGATGAGAAAACGCGAGAAATGTAGTATGAGAGTAAGAGCTTCTGTGAGCGTGAGTACAAACGTTCGAGCGAGATATTTGGAAAGTTAGTGCATAAGAGGCTTTACCACTACGAATATGGACATGTCGTACAGCGGGTGAAAGGAGATAATACACTATAGTGTAGTTATGCATATTTTTTTTATTACGCACTTAATAAATACATCGGTTTGTATTGTGCTACACACTGCAGTATTCACAATGTCATAATATTATTATTGTTAGTTATTCTATCCGCAGTTTCATGGGTTGTGCATGTTCATAATAGAATTAAATTTAATAAAATTCCACTTGATCGGCATGAGCGAACTCACAGCATGTGTGTTTGCTGATTTGTGACCATGATAACTAATTATTACGTAGTCAGTTTATAAATCTATTCTATATATTTATACGTTAAATTTTGCATATTTCCCCATTGTCCATTACCTTGAACATTCAACAATGGTCTTTAGTGTGACACACAATACGCTGTGATCGATAATCTCCAATTAGGTAATATAAATACTGTTGAATTGACATCCTAATTGAGGATCTGCTCTTATTATTGTTATGACAATTGCTCTATGGATCAAATACCAACCGTCTCTTCTCAGTTCTCTTCGTTGTTTCTCACATCCAACAACAATCATTCCCCCTTCACACGTATTTCATCAATTTGCAGGTGATGTTCTCAACGTGCAGTGCGCAAAACAATAGTCAATATCTATCGATTTTGGAGAAGCATCGTACACTCATTGCACTGCCATTCAACATGTAGTTGACAATGTCTTCATTAGGCATACAACAACTCGCACTGTATAAGATATTGTGTAAATATGGCATAGACTCAATATGAGTTGTTGCTTAAAAGGATTGAGAATAAAGTTTATCATATTCCAATAACGTTATTAATACACAGAATAGAGAATCCTTCATATTGTGTTATGATCAATAATTACCTTCATCGCTAGTACTATTTGATGCGACAAGAACTGTAGTTCTACGACATAAGCTCTAGATAATTATATGTGAATAGTATGACATAATACAGTAGAATAAGGACTATGTGATAAGTTACGTAGCAACTGAATTGTGCGCTGTGGCATTTGCAAGATTCAATAATAACGACAACACCTGAAAACATGTTACATTCGGCCATCTCACATGCATATGTTTAATAGAATAAGACCTGATGTATACATACATCTAAACGCAACTACAATTGTCATATACTCAATAAACAGATATAGACTCAACAGCGGTCGAAAGATTGACTAACAATTAATTAAACGATGGGATAATTTATTATACTTTGTGAAAGGCAAGGATCTGTAATTCACTCATTGCGCCTCTTAATGGATAAAGAAGATGCAGATCATGTGATATCATTGGATTGGCTGTCATAACGCCCGAATATTATGCATCGAACTATTTCATAAAAATGATCGATACGAATGTTACAAATATATTGTTTCTTCATAAGAGCGTTTGTAATATTTGTGGGAAATTGTATAATCCGTTACAGAAGAGTAATGAGAATCGTTCTTTTTGTGAAAACCGTAAGGAAAAAGACGTTAGATTGGATCGTTCGAGAATAATTCGTACTTGAATAGTATGAAAATGCTTTTATGGATTGTATTCTGGACATTAATCCAAATATTACTGAATAATTTGCCGTTTTAATGACTAATATTAAAAGCTATACAAGTGTTATTATTAAATTTTATCTACTTATGGTTGTTTCCTGAGTATTGTGCCATTATCCATTATTAGCAAAATTTATATAATAAAAATATTGACTTTAATATACCCGATTGGAACAACTATCCTGAGTTATTCCTGCAATAAAAAATAAGACATTTGTATCCGTTCATAAAGAATGTAACGTTTCACGAGAAAGGCGCGTGTTTATCAGTTTACGGTTCAGCGCGTAGCTCTTATCAACGAAATAAATTGACTAGGCATTAGTCACCAAAACTACTGTATATAGTTCCTATGATGGTTGCAAATTCTATCAACTTTAATTGATCAATCTAATGAGGAAGATAGCCGCCAAGTAAAGGTTAACACTATTGTTACTCAGACTTGCACCGGATTGCTTTTGTCACGACGTTTCATTATCGCTTCAAATGGGCGCAAATTATAATTGAAATTTCGGTTACACATATCTCCCTAAATGCAGACTTCCTAAATGCAAACTCCCTAAATGCATCATGTTCCAACCTCGAGGCTTATATTCTGCACGTGCAAGGTTTTCGACAATCTCTAAATGCACACACGTGATTGTAAAAATAAATTTGGTAAGGAAACATTGTATTGTCGTATATGTGGTAAAATTATATTGCAACAGTATAGGCCGAGATCGTATGTCGGTCGATAAAAATCTGTCAGCAAATAGTCACCATTAGAATGTTGTTCTGTAGATTCTTCATCTTGATATTAAGCAAAGTTATTGGCAATTTAATTCAGACGGACTAATGTAAAGTGATGGTATACATTTCAATACTTGGACTGAACCTAAGCATTACTACAAAGTAAATATAAATTTGACAGTTTGCTAATCTTCTGAATAGAGAGATAATATATATGTCAGAGAAAGACAGATAACAATGCAACAATCTATGACTTACCCTCGCAAACAATAAATTGCTTTTCCGCCAACATTTGTTTAGATTGGCATTTTGTTTTTTATATTCCCATACACCGTCGGAAAGTATTATCTTGTTTGCTCTTCCAGTCTGTTGTGACAATTACGCCATCACAAATATTGACGCAATGATACGTATGATGGATATTTAATGATTAAAAGGCTGGACAAATAAAATCCTAAACTTGCGTTTTGTAATTTGTTGCAGCATGCACTCAATTATCAAACAATTTCATTTGTATTAACTAACCGTTTTTTGTTAAAGACATTGTGACCAAAATTATTAAGTATTTAAAATTTTTTCATGTAACAAAATTTTAATGTGCAAGCTAAACGGTTAGGGCTCGGAGAGAGAGAGAGGTTTATGAAAACTTATAAAACGATTGCTTGTCGTTTAAACCACTTCTACAGATACAACTGTCAGACGTGCTAATTCTATTAATAATCCAATGCCAAACAACCGGAGATCGCTTTTCTTTAATGGCACTTATCAACGCTAAGATAAATAACATTTTTTCTTGACGAAATTCATACACAACGCTTCCCCAAATTACAAAGTGCTGCTTCAAGCTACTTCTTACATAACACAAGCCGGATGTAACAGCTCTGTTAGGCAAATAGCATAAATATCTTCCTTGAACAGTAGAATAAGTGTTTCGCCTATACAGCTTAGCTTGTGTTCCAATAGTATTAAAGCATCTCCAATAAGCTTATCGGTCAACCGTTTGTAAACTGTTTAGTTTCTTGACAACTTGTTCTAATTCAGGTAAAGCTGATCCCTCAAACTCATGTAATAGCGAGCCTCGTACAACGACATCATTTACGTCGCTCCTACTTCATGATATTCATTCTGCTTCCGAAGATTGGCCAATTCTGGATAGGCCTTGCGATAATGTTCAGTTGCGTATAAACGTCTAAAGCATCACCGATGTGTAAATATGAATTTTGCCCCATTGGCTTAAGAGACGAATTTTGTACGTTCTAGTTAACGCTTTAATTTATCTATTTTTTGCAATTCAAATATCGATTGACTGGTTACCCACCCGAGAGATAATAAAATAAATACATGTCGTTTCCACGCGCCGGAATGCTGCTTCTACTAAACCGGTCATGACTCTTTTTAAGAATTCGAAAATGGAAATATCGCTTGTTCACGGACTGCCGGGGGTTTTTTTCTGAAACGAATCGAAAGTATGTTATACGTCAATTGAGGTCGATAAGTCTATTGTCATAATTACCAAATCCGAGCACCAATCTTTGGACTGACGTGCGCCTTTTGCGCAAATAAACATTCCGCCACCCCAAGATTAATGAAAGGTTTGCCCATTCTTACTGCGTGAAATAGTGCATTGGATTTTGTAGACGGTAAGTTTACAATGTTATTCCATTCATGCGAACAGTAATGTAAGATTTCTCAAGCGGACAATAATTTCCACTTTGAGCTGTAGCACCAAACCATGCGTGGTAGCTGACCGGTTGATAAGCAGGCAGTTAACGGATTCGAAAACGGCTTATTATTATATAGAATCTAAATTTGTGCGACAAACAAGAATTCCGAACGACCTACGTAACTAATACTAAGTTTTAAGACTTCTTGAGCAACTTCCTAATTATCATGGTATTAGTCTCTTTGATTAAACATTTTAATCCTGGACGAGAGGTATGTGCCAATACATAATATAATTGTAGATGGTGCTGTCAATATCGAACTCGAGCGACAATTGTCCAGCGACTCCATCGACTTCTATCTAATTGTGGGTACTATAAAACCTCTTTTGAACTTAGACTATATTCCTATGCCACCAATGACTGAAAAAAATTCCATACATTTAATAAACAAACCTTTGTGAAAGTTGCTGAATGCCTATCATTGGGATCTACAATGTCTTTGTAAATGGATCCAGATTAGTAGTGCATTAATTCGATATATTGTACAACCGGACAATCACTTACCAAATCGGAACCATTGCAATTCTTGATTAAATACTCATGCGGAACGAGAAATTCTTTGAAATTTGATTGCGAGTTCTGTAAGAAACGATCGAGAGTCGAGACTTTTGAGGCTTGCATCGATCGTTTAGATGTACTGAGAATAGTCGTTGTAACAGATTTCTCTGCGGAAAAGAACGGCCGACAGTAGAAAGGTGCTCTTCAGTCAAACTGCATTGTTGCGCTGATAGCGACAACCTATCCTTTGGAACCAAAAAAAAGTTTTTTTCTGCACTTGGATTTCTAATAATAAAGTCAGTAGCTATGCACACGATAAACGATTACTTAAATTGGTAATATACCTCAAGTTCAATACATCTTCAACAAGATGAGGTAAAGTAATTGGGCAGTAATCAATGAGATGCAGGAGCGATTTTTGCTCTCTTGCCTTTTGGCGTAAAATCCAGCAGTTGGGTATGTGTTTGTGCACACCTGTTGACATCTGATAATGCAATTAGCAATTAGATAGTTACGTAATTAGATATTACGCAATTAAATAGTTGCGCAATTACTGTATTACAAATTTTTTATTGGAGAAAAGACGTATTTCTCTGACGGCTATGTAAACTGGCTAGGAATGCTATCAAATAGGCGAAATAACGTCTGGGCTAAATTAGTTCAGCTCCTTCTACGACATTGGAACAATACAAATTGCTTTTACAGTACGTAGAACAGAAAGACCGCCAAATCCAAGACGTGTCAAGATTGCAAAGTCTATTACGACATATTTGTATCAATTAAACAAATACGGGAACGAGATAACAAAAATGTTAACAAATTTTTTCAACAAGGAGATGTGACAGAGTCTCAATTTAAAATAGTTTATTTTATTTTAGCAAATAATAATTACGTAAAGAAGAATTAGAGAGGGGTTTATTATAAAGTAGTAGTAATTCATAATAATAAATATTAATATAATACTGTCATGACTTATTATTATGACATCGCTATTTACTACCCTAACCCTAACCCTCTACCCAGCATAAATTAATCGCCAGTTCCGTGTGGTTAATATCCAAAGAGTACACTGATTACAAAATGTTGTAGTCATAAAATTAATCTACATTTTTTATTTTAATAATGAGTGTACTCAAAAATTTAAATTAATATATAGGCTACACTGTCTTACATTTTTCTATCGGTATTTTGAATTAAAAAAACTGCCTTAAAATTAGCCAATTTTGTATGAAGTATTAGTATTGTTATAAATATCATTATCAAAAGTTTATATCTCATCTGCATTATCGGTTTACGAAAAATTTATCATATAAATTGTATGGGAATTGAAAGGTATTAATTTTGCGAGTCATCGATTTTGAACAGTATATTGGTATGGTGTATTAAAGTCTGGTTTATTTTATTTACGACCGGTCATCTTGCTTATATTATTTTATTCTTTGATCTTATAATTTGCTCATAACCGACGTTGTATAGCTGAAAACATTTGCCTTTAGGCAATATAAACTGTCATTTTAAATAAAACCTGTCCTTGTCAAGTAGCAAAACTAATATCACAAGTGCGCTTAGGTATCATTTCCCCGAGACAATCACTTCCCTGACGGCACTTCCCGGAGAATATTTTGTCGAAACGCCTAAATTTGCACACCATATTATTGTCGGGCAATGTTAAAATAATACAAAAGTATAACACATCAATTTTTTTATAAAATTGGCCTGAGATATAATATAAAAAACACGAGAGGTCTTTATAAGAGAGCTGACTGTATATGTATTTCTGTACACGTTTTTGAAGCAAAAGTTAATGTTTCCTTGAAAAACTAAACAGTGTTTGTTCCAAATCTGAAACTAACTAGTCGAGCAGTAGGATGTTATTTAAAAATTATTATAGTGCGTACACGTTCATACAATGATTGGTTGGAACTTATTTATATGCGTTACTTTAAAAATAATAAAAAAACTCCTTTGCATTTTCGTCGTAACACGAATTTCGACCTTTCAAAAAATTCCATATTGGGATTACCAGAAGTTGAGGGATAAATAGCATGGGTTTCAATACTCGCGAGTGCTATTCAATACGAAGTTTTGCTATACGAATATTGCTAACCAATGCTTTCGGCAAGTAATAACTCCCCCGATAATAATGGTATGTGTAACGAGTTTTGCTGTCGTTTTGAAGAGCATTCTGTATCAATACGTTCTGAATATGTTAAATATATACGCAGATGGCCTACTAACATTCCAACGTGCGGTTGAGGTAGACCTTCCACGCATATGTCTGGCCGATTTAGTGCTGGAGCTTAAAGTGGAAATTATCCTCTACTTGAGAAATCCTACTTTTCTTGCCAGATGTTCGCATGAATGGAATAACATTGTGAATTTGCCATCAACGAAAGCCAAATGGCTGATCTTTAGACATGGAAGAACCCATGCGTTATTTCACGCAGTAAGAATGGGGGAGCCTTTTATCAATCTTAATGTAATCGAATGTTTATTTGCGCAGAAGGCGCACATTAGTCGATATTTTGTCCAAAGATTGGTGCTCGGATTTGGCAAGTATGACAACAGGCTTATTGATCTCAAACTTACGCATAATATGGGTACTCTTGATCCCGATCGGAAAAAATCCATTCAAAACAAGATTCGAAGCCCTTGGGCGAGCAATCTTTCGTTTGATGTGTTCTCGCGAATTCTCAAAGAGGGTCATGATTGGTTTGATGGTAATGACATTCCTGTCCGAGGGAATGATATGGAATCCTTTTATTATCTATCAGCCGGTCCATTAGTTATTAGTCAAGCGAGAACTAAATTGAAGGAAAATAAAAAGAAGATCAAAGCTCTGATTCTGAAGTACAAATTTGCTCCTTTTCCTCCGAGACCGAAACGTCAAAAACATATTTTCGAGGAAGAAAAAAATATGAAAATTGGGCTTTTCTATTCAAATATGCAGACTGAGTCACGCACTGCTAATTTTGATGACTATCCGCCATCTGATGGGTATGAGAACGTGAGACAACTAAACGTCATCGCACGTGCAATAGTTATATATCCCAAATTAGTTAATATCTGGAAGAAAAACGGGTATCACGAGATAGTTAGTGATGTGAACGACTTGGTCATGCAAGGATCGTTACTTATCCTTTACCCACCAAACCCTCCCGAAGGTTGGACTGAACCAGGCCTAGATCAAGTCGTCGAGAAACTAAACAATCTAATATTGCTTGGATTCGAACTGACGGATGCCGTGATTGGAGACGTTTTGATATTGTTTAAGCGTAAACTTGGAACGATAGGGGACATACTCATCAAAGCGTTTGCCATTGTTAAGAAAAAAAACGTACTCCCTATTTGCTTGAGAGAACTCTTGAATTCTGAAAGAACTTTCAAGCATCATGATTCACTTGAATTTGTCATCAATCGAATTGATACGCCCGAAGAGGAAATTCTTTTTCAGATCAAAGAGAACCGTATTGAGAATCCATTGGATATTTATCTAGGCAATAATAGCTCAATTCCTCTTGCCTGTACTATTTTAAAGTATTCACCAATCGTATACGAATACATGTTGGAAAAGTTTGGCCCAGGGTCTCCAGTTACTAGATATTTAATGAAAGAGATTGTAACCGCCCGTATAGGAGAAGCAAAACTTCGTGAATCCTTTCCAACTCTTGCCTCGTCTTCCGCTCGGTTAGAAAATGAATGGCAGGATTTGGATCGCATCTTTAAAATATATTGTATGAAAGGGGTTCCTTTCGAACCACAATTTTTACCAATAATCGAAAACTGCCCGAGTGATGCGGTTATCAAATGTCTATTTGGATATTTATCAAGACTCTTTGGATTCAAATTTGAATATCCACCGTCAGAAGCTGATCAAGTTCCATTATTGGGCGTTACCCCATTCGCACAGCGCAATGTAAATGCGAGCAGTGACGCAGACAGAGGGGAATGGTTGAATGTGATTCAACGAACCAATATAACAGGCGTGTTTAGAAGCTGGCTTGAAATCTTTGGCCAGCGTCTACGCTGAGGTCATTATTATGTGATCTAAAACAGTGCCAACCCATGGCCGTAGCTTACTTTATTTATTTTTTTTTGGAAAAGGTAGCCATTTAAAATAGATAATTTTCTACCAAGTCTATTTATGAAACACTATTTACAGATCGCACATGGCGTGCGCTAAGATAGCTTTTCTATTATTTTTTTTAACGGTATGCTTGTTACAACTTCTTGGAAGCAACCAATTGACTCTGGGTGTGCTATTCGTGTTTACCATAATTACCTATTGTATCGGACTTTTAATAGCTTCCAGTCGAGTTTGTTCCAATCCAACAATGATTAGATTTTCTTGCTTAAATAGCTAATTATATGATCAGGTTTACCGGTTTACTTATTCCCTTTTCGTTTAACTGTTTATTTAAAGCTCTTTTTCCTTGTATTTTTAAAAAGGTTGTTTTTTTTCAAGTCAGTTTGTTATTTGGTAGCTTTTGTTTACAAATAGCGGAGGAAATAGCTCAATAAGCATCCAACTAAGTTTTTACCTAAGTTTTTTACCTGAGTTTTTTACCTAAGCTTTTTACCTACATTTATCAGATTATCCATCAGTATTTATCACCTTTGGCCTTAGCTGTATGGATAATGGACGATGCAACTCTTTACAAAAATAAAGGATTAAGATTCTGCACTAATTGTTTCACACTTTATAAAAATAATATCTTTCTCCATTGAGATGTCGTGTGAATGGTCACGTTACTGTTAACATTTTTCAGATTCGTCATCAATCACGTAATAATAAAGATTTCTCGCAATAGTATCATGTATTTTACAAACCGGACCGGTTGATAAGATGACATCCGCAGGAATCAAATAAGGATTCCGAAAGATCTACGTAACTAGTACTAAGTTTTAAGATTTCTATTTGAGCAACTTTCTAATTATCATGGCATTGGAAAATTTTTAAGAATTATGTGCAAATACATTATCTTGCTAATTGCTGCCAATATTGAATTGAGCGGCAATTGTCCAGCAACTCCATCGACTTCTATCTAATAGTGGGTACTGTAAAAACTCCTTTGAACTTAAACATATATTACCATGCCACTGTACATTGATAAACAAACCTTTGTGAAAGTTGCCGAACGCCTATCATTGGGATCCACAATGTCGCTGTAAAATGGATCCAGATTAATAGTGCATTAATCCGATTTATTGTACAACAGGACAATCACTTACCAAATCGGCAATTCCTGGTTAAATAAAATTCTTTGAAATTTGATTGCGAGTTCTGTAAGAAACGATCGAGAGTCGAGACTTTTGAAGTTGCATCGATTGTTCAGATGTACTGGGCGTAGTGGTTGTTCTAACAGATTCCTCTACAGGAAAAAATGGCCAAGTTGTGTGTATAGACGCAATAGAAAGATACTCTTCAGTCAAACTGCTGATAATTGCAATAACCACTCCGTATTCGATAATTAATATGACAAAGCTGTTCCGACGAGTTTTTCTCTGCACTTGGATTTCTAATAATATAAAGTCGGTAGCTATACATACGATAAACGATTACACAGGATATTTGATGGGACAATTGCCTATCAACATTTCACAGCAGCTGCTGTGTAATGAATGTAGCGTGAGCAAACGACAGGAATAAAGCCTCGTAAGGCAGGCTCGGGGAAAGCAAACCCTGAACCATTACCATCTTTTCCATAGACCCATCGCTTACTTAAACGGTAAGTAGTATTCAAAGCTCGATACATTTTCGATGAATATGAACTTTGATGGGTGACGCAATTGGGACAGTATTTCAATGAGATGCAGGAGTGGTTTTGCTCTATTATCTCTATCATCCAACAGTTTGCCACCTCTTGTGTACGGTTGACATGGCGGACTCAGAAACCAGCAGTCTGCTTTGTGTTTGTCTATGTCTTGTGGCTTAAGTACATCTATTGATGTTTAGGAACAAGATTTAAATCTCAAATGTCACTAATGATTGTCACATTTGTATTACATGGAATATTGTAATTGCCTTAACTGGATCAATATTGAAATTGTGCTTATAAATGGGTATTAGCAACCTTGTTAACATTAAAGCAATTGACTATCTGTCCTGCGATCCCCTAACTTTTAATAAAATGCTGTGTCGCTCAAATTAACTTCCGTTTAATATTGGTTTGTGCACTATTCTTGATACTTGAATCACATACATTACCATGCAAGAGAAAAATTCCAAACATCGTAAATAACCCAAAATTCAAATCTCGTATATTTATTGGTGTAATGTGATACTTTACGTCATCCGAGACTCCTTTTTGTTTCAAAAAACACGTGCATTTTTGTACTAGTAACGGCAAACTCTGCTCCAGCCACAAAAAATGGGTGCCACGAGATCAACTAAGTACAGTTCATTGACAGCAAGCTTTCGTCGTTACTTGTCCATACGCTTATTCTTCGAACGAGAGTTGATACGTTCATGAAAGTGTGTTAAACGGCGCATATAGCTGATATTTTTCGACTATGTGAGAAGTTTCTCGTTGAGAATATAAAATTGGTTTATATCTTGTAGCTTAAGTACATCTATTGACAGAATTTAGATAGTTACGTAGCTACTGTGGCACAAGCCAAGTTCGAACTCTTATTAAGCATTTAAATTGATTTGACGAAAAGCTAGCGAACGGCGAGCCACTTGGACAAATGTGAGACGGAGTTCTAACTCGAAAACGAACAACACTATGAAATTTGTTTAAAACCAGATAAATACGTATTCTTGACGAGGTATAGCTGCACTATTGATCCTTTTATGTTAGTATGATTGAGAAAAGAGAGGAAAGAATGGTAAATGTGAACAATCTAGGGAATAAGCCTGAGCCAAATTAATAAGCCGTTAAATTTTATAATATAATTTTTGCTTATAAAAATGCATGCCTTTCAACAAAAATACTATGGTAACCCCTCTTTAGTACTCAACCTATTAATATAAACTTTTTTCTATTAACAACAGCGGTTAGAGAATGTACTTTTCCATATATAAATTCCCAGCACATATATTTGATATCGAATATTCCCTATCAACAGATTAAATTAGCATATTTCAGATTTCATACAATATTAATAATAGACTCTCGTTCCGCTATTTGCATAATTGATATGGTTTGCTGCTAATAGTACTCTCAACTTATCCTTAAACTCACAATATTCTAGATACCGCTGTCTTTCTCCGCTGTTCGGATCGAATGCCTGTTCTTTTTACATACATCCCGTTGATATCGACATCAAAATAAATTAGTATTTTAAAACGAGGCTGTTAGTGGCGAAGAAGGCATTATAGTAAAGATATCCTAAACTTGAAGAAAGTTTTATTACAGAGCGATAATAATGAATATTATATTGTCATAACTTATTATTATGGCATCATTATTTACAACCCTAACCCTAACCCTCTACTTCGCATATATTAATTGCCAGTTCCGTGAGGTTGATATCCAAAAAAGTATACTGATTACAGAATGTTGTAGTCATAAAATTAATCTACATTTTTTATTTTAATAATGAGTGTACTCAAAAATTAAATTAATATACTGTATAAGCTATGCTGTCTTACATTTTTCTATAGGTATTTTAAATTAAAAAAATTGCCTTAAAATTAGCCGATCTGTATTGTTATAAATATCGTTATCAAAGATCTATATTTCATATGCATCATCGGTTTACGAAAAATTCATCATATAAATTGTATGGGAATTAATTTTGCGAGTCATCGATTTTAAACAGTATATTGGTATGGTGTATTAAAGTCTGGTTTATTTCATTTACGACAGGTTATCTTATATTATTTTATTCTTTAATCTTGTAATTCGGTCATAACCGATGTTGTATGACGGTTTTTTGGCTGAAAACATTTGCGTTTAGGCAATATAAACTGTCATTTTAACTAAACCTGTCCTTGTCAAGTAGTAATAACTAATATATCACAAGTGCGCTTAACTTTGAAGTTTTTGTAACTAATTGTATTGATTCTCCAGGTATCATTTCCCCGAGACAATCACTTCTCTGACGGCACTTCCCGGAGAATATTTGTCGAAACGCCTAAATTTGCACACCATATTATTGTCGGGCAATGTTAAAATAATACAAAAGTATAACACATCAATTTTTTTATAAAATTGGCCTGAGATATAATATAAAAAACACGAGAGGTCTTTATAAGAGAGCTGACTGTATATGTATTTCTGTACACGTTTTTGAAGCAAAAGTTAATGTTTCCTTGAATAACTAAACAGTGTTCGTTCCAAATCTGAAACTAACTAGTCGAGCAGTAGGATGTTATTTAAAAATTATTATAGTGCGTACATGTTCATACAATGATTGGTTGGAACTTATTTATATGCGTTACTTTAAAAATAATAAAAAACCCCTTTGCATTTTCGTCGTAACACGAATTTCGACCTTTCAAAAATTCCCATTTTGAGATTCACCAAAAACCAGGTATAAATAGTATGGGTTTCAATACTCGCGAGTGCTATTCAATACGAGGTTTTGCTATACGGATTACTGCTAACCAATACTTTTGGCGAGCGATAATTTTTCCGATAATACTGGTATGAGTATCAATTTGTGCTGTCGGTTTGAATATGATCATTCGATAACCAATATGTTGAAATGTCTTCAGGCGTCATCTAAACGGTCCAGCATCCTCATACACTCATGTATTTAAACAACCTAGCACCAGAGCTTAAGGTGGAAATTATTCTTCAATTAAAAAATCCTACATCCCTTGCCAAGTGTTCGCGCAAATGGAACAATATCGTAAATTTACCTTTTACAAAAGCTATGTGGTTGATCAGCAGGCATGGAAAAACCCACGCATTCTTTCACGCGGTAAGGATAGGCAAACCTTTTATTAATCTTGATGTAGTTGAATGTTTATTTGCGCAGAAGGCACACATTAGTCGATACTTTATCCAAAGATTGGTGCTCGGATTTGGCAAGTATGACAGAAAACTTATCGATCTCAAAGAGAGGCATACCATGAGCACTCCCGACCCGTTTCAGAAAACATCATTTCAAAACAAAACCTGCAATCCGTGGGCAAGCAATCTTTCCTTCGATGTTTATTTTCGAATTCTCAAAGAAGGTTATGACCGATTTGGCGGGGACGATATGCCCGTACATGGAAATGACATGGAACTATTCTATTATCTTGCAGGTGGATCACCAGAGACCAGACAATGGATAGTCGTATTACGGAAAAATATAGATGAAATTAAAACGTTAATTAGAACGCACAAATTCGTACCATTTCCTCCTAACCCAAGAATCAGAGATTTCATATTTACGTGTATCCACCGGTGATTTTGATGGATACACAAACGACTTGAACTGGAATATTATCGTACAGGCTATCCAGTTTTACCCTGAATTAGTGGATGTCTGGAAGGAAAATGGATATCCTGAAGTAGTAAACGACGTAAATGATATTGTCGTACAAAGCTCGCTGCTATATGAATTTAAGGGATCGGCTTTACCCGGATTGGAACAAGTTGTCAAGAAGTTAAGCGACTTACAGGCGGTTGGTTTTAAACTGACTGACAAGCTTATCGGAAACGTCCTAATATTATTGGAAGACAGACTAAGCTGTGTAGGCGAAACTCTTATTGAAGCTTTTGCTGCAGTTCGTAAAAGACCTAAGGAGGATATTTATACTACTTGCCTAACAGAACTGTTGTGTCTAGAAAGAAATATCGAGCAACACATTTCACTTGACTTCATACTTGGCCACATTGACAAACCTGAAGATAAAGTCGTCTATGCGCTTGAAAAGTATACCTCCACTAACTCCGACATATATGATATATGATAGTTAACTCAGTCCCCAGTTGCCACCCATCTGTACGATAAATGTACGATTGGATAATGGTGGTATATATGAAGCTAAGTAGTCTATGCTTGGAATACAGTATATGCTTCGATAGCCAAATTTGGCCAATGCATGATATGTAGCAACGGGTATGAAGCTAAGCATAAGCATACGATTGGCACATGTACAAATTTGTGCAACATTTGTTTGCTATTATTTATTATTATTATAAGTTAATTATATTTATGATAAACCGTCTTTAAGAATATTCGGAGATGTACGGAATTTTTGTTAATTGATATTAACCGTTGCTTACTTATATCGACATGTATATATAGTTATGTCTAAGTCATCATAGTTTGTCTCCAAATAATACGTTTATAATAGTCGATAATAAACTTGGTAACGTTGCTTGAATAGCTACCCAGAACTCGTTAGTATTAGCAGGAACGTGACCATCGTACGACATCTTCAGCCAGTCATCAGCTGTGTCGCACGTTGGATTTTGTTCGATTGATTTTTGTATAAAGCGGAATATTAATGTGGTTCTGTTTGATTATTTTAACAAATTCGATAATAACAATAAGGTAACAATTATTTATGAAATTCGAATTATAATTACGATTGGAACGAAAGTTTAAATTTCGACCAATCCGCCAAGGTATCACAGCCTTCCTAGAGATGTGCTTTAATAATCACTACCCTTAAAAAGGAAATATTATGTCCGTGTACATGTCGACATGACGGGTAAATTCCTGGTTATCGAAAGTGTCCCTAAGGCAATTCAGTAATCAAATGTACATTTGATGGTTACCTATCAAAGATATTCCCTACAAGAACGGTCCGCATTTCGGTTTTGACTTTCGTTGGTCTAATTGTGCAAATAACTTCATAAACGAAAGGCTAGTACCAAGGAAGCAAAGAAAGAAAAAGCGAAATTACAACAAAAATAGCTTGATCAAGAATTTTTGCAAAAGTTTATGCAACGTACAGACAAGTTCGTACAAGAAGAAAAGGACTCTGGTGGCACATAGTCAAAGCGTGTAAAATATAAAAGTGACGGGAGGCGGTGAGCAAAATTCCTCAAACTGGTAAGGTTAATTGCAAACAACTTTCGTATGATAACAGCTACATCATATTATACCACTCTATGCGTATAATATAGATAATTTTTAAACTGTTAAATTTACATGACGATTATTCGGCAAGTAATTAAGTGTGACTGAAACCCATAACTGAATATTTGTCTACATGTATTGACTTATTTACGACCTAAGCTTTTTTATGATAATGTTTATCATAATCCTTAATAATAATAATAAATCTTTTATGATTACACCGTGTGGGACAATCTGGAAAGGGATTTTACTGTGACTAAAAAATCCATAGCTGAATAAGGTTTTTTATAATAATATTAATATTTATCCCTTCTTATTATATATTTATACTGGTTAACATCGTAACACAATTTTCGGTAGAGTAATTATTATCTGTTTGGTCACCGCCGAGTTAAGCTGAATTTGCACAGATAAGCTTGTTACTTGCTACATTAATATCTTGACCAATTATGAAGTCACTTGCATTACCATTTACTATTACAACAAAACAAGAAAACGAAGTCTAATTGCCACGCTTCACATGTTAGTGTAATCTAACAAACTAAACATTCTGGTTCTGCTGCTCAATTTTGAGAGAAACTTCACTGTGCTGACGTAATGTCCATTCATCATTTGGTTTAATCTCCAACGATTTATTGAAATCCTTCAAAGCGTTGTCGTATTGATTTAGTTCATAATAAACAGATCCTCTTCTACACAGTGCCCACGCGTCGTTTGGTTCCATTTCCAACAAATTATTAAAATCGCTTAATGCATCATCATATCGTTCAAGACTATGATAAATATTTCCCCTTATACTCAATATAAATGCATTGTTTGGTTCAATTTCCAATGACTTGTTGAAATCATGTAAGGCATTATTGTATTCACGAAGGCAGTAATAAATAAAACCCCTTGTCTCCAACGTTTTGGAATGATTTGGTTCAATTTCTAATGATGCATTGACATCTTCCAATGCATTATCATATTTTTTGAGCATTAAATAAACGTCCGCTCTTTTTCTTAGTATTAAAATATTATTCGGCTCAATTTCCAAAAATTTATTGAGATCTGTCAATGCATTATCATACTGCTTAAGCCGGTAGTAAATAGAACCTCTTGTTTTCAACGCAAATGAATCACTTGGTTTAATTTTTAGTGAACTATTGAGATCACTCAATGCACGATCATACTTTTTAAGCCGGTAATAAGCATACCCCCTTCTACTCAACATAATTGCATTATCTGGTGTAATTTCCAATGATTTATTAAAATTATTCAACGCCTTGTGATACTGCTTAAGTGCATTATAGGCACATCCTCTTCGACCTAGTGCATCAGCATCATCTGGTCGTGTCATCAATGACTTGTTGAGATCGTTCAATGCCTTGCCATGCATTTTCAATACACCATAGACGAGTCCTCTCGCACTTAAAGTCCATGGATCATTTCGTTTAATGTTCAGCGATAAATTAAAATCATTTAAGGCTTTATCATATTGCTTTAATGCTCCGTAGACAAATCCTCTTCCACTCAAAGCAAACGGGTGATTTGGTTCAATTTTCAAAGATCTATTAAAATCAATTAATGCCTTTTCATATTCTTTAAGTTTGCGGTAGGTAGTTCCCCTTCTACTCAATGTGAATACGTCATTTGAATTAATCTCCAACAATTTATTAAAATCATCTAATGCATTGTCATATTGCTTAAGCGCGTGATAGACAATTCCCCTTCTCCTCAATGCAAACGCGTCATTTGTATTAATCCCTAAAGACTTGTTAAGATCATCTAACGCATTGCCATACTGCTTAAGTACATAGTAGATAGTTCCCCTTCTGTTTAGGACAAGCGGATTGTTTGGTTCGGCTTCCAATGACTTACTAAAGTCAGTCAAAGCATTGTCATATTTTTCAAGCTTCTGATAGATAGTCCCCCTTCCACTTAATGCAAATGCATCATTTGGCTTGATCTCTAGTAATTTAGTGAGATTGTTCAATACATCATAGTATTGATCAAATATGTTGTAGATATTCATTGACTTGCAAACACCATTCAGTATACCATGGTTATGAAACGCATTGTAGACTTGTATAACTCTCTTTTCGAATGTATGATCCGGCACGTCATCCAATAATCCATCAAGCAATAAGCAAATTTTTTGCAACTCCAATCTTTGACCAATTTTTTTGCAAAGTGGTCGCCTTTGAGGATCGTCATCCCAGCATTCAGAATACAATTCAACGTATCTATTTGGCGTTCCAGTAACAGGATCGTCACGATAGCCATTCAATCGAAATCGGATTATATCTGTAGCTAGTGTTAATGCTTTACACGGTCGTCTTCCGCTGGATATTTCCCACAGAATTACACCCAAACTAAAAATATCAGACTTTTCCCCATGTTTGTATGAGCTGCTAGCAAATAACAATGGATCAACATATGCTAGCTCTTCTTTAGTTTTACAAAGGAATCCGAAACCAGATATTTTAGCAATGCCTTTACAAATTAGAATATTATCCGAACTCTAGAAATATCAGTGTAAATACAATATTCGAGTTATTAGAATCATGGATCGCGACACTTGAAAATTTCTATTCGTACTTGTTAACAAAATGATGCATAATTATAATAACACAATACCAAATACTTATGAATGATTTGCATATCGTGCAGATAGTTCAATCCATTTGCAATGCTTAAACCAAGTACCGTTTTCGTTTCCAATGTCATTTCTTGATAAAAATCTTTCAAGTAATCATGTAAGTTCCCAGATTCAAGACTCATACGATAATCATTGCAGATATCTATTATGTACAATTGCAAGTTAATTTGTGAATGAAATTCGAGCTATGAGCGTAATTTAAGCATACCTTTGCTTATGCCTGCGAATCGGAGAATATTTGAATGGTCGTCGACTAGTTTGTTATTATAAAGCTATAATAAATATAATGAATACACTGTTATTTAAACCGAACCAAACAGCCAGCCTATTGCTATGTACCTCATCAACCAAGTGCTTGTAGAATCCCTTCCATTGATTCTTTGCCAATGCCTCTACCGCGGAAGTATTTCGGGATTGGTTCACAATGACAACGATAATTATTATATCTTTTCCATTCAGATAGTGTCCAATGGGTCTACCTTGAATGTTCGCAGCTAAACGTTTCTTGGGATTGCCGAACGTCAACATCACATATGTCAATTGGGAGAAGACCTCCCCTATTGATAACTTAGCGTAATTATATTATGCATAGTGTGACATTGCGTTGCCATTAGTATTACGTTACACCGTCAAAAATACGGTCTTTAGCGTTGATGTCGCGCTTCCATTTTCTCGCTTAATATTCAGCAATGTAATTCCGTTAATCCTTCTTCATAATCGTTACTTTACTCACCAATTCATCATATTTAGTGCTGTATATTACCCTCTTTTGCCTGCGAGAGTCTGAACAACCGAAATTTTAATTCATTTTTTGTAGCTTGTACCAATTTGTGATGCCTTGCTTCGTTTTATAATGGACAATACCTTAATATGCCCATCGAGACTCTAAATATCAACATAGGCAGCTGATATGGTAATTGTGATTCATTCGTATACTTTGTCAAGCGTTTAAATGTTTGCTTATTTTACTGTATTAGTATACTATTTCTGCACAGACTGTTCGTTTTGTGCAGTATTACGAAATTACAGATTGATTGCGTCACACATTGTCTGCGTCCTACGGTTTTTGTGAGTATTTAGCATTATCTGATCCTTTATAATTGCATCGAGTCTAACTAGAAATCAAACAACTCTTCTCGCCGTCAAATTGCCAGTTGCCAGTTGCTAGTAAGACAAACAGTTCACTCTCAACAAGTTTCTATATTAATATTGAGCATTGTACAGAGACATCTGTAAATACACGTTTTTGCATATCAAATGCTAATGATTCATAAGCAGTTCGCTAATCGGTTGCTATACGTATCATACTATGCTCTCGTCAGTTATCGATTGTTATGAGCGTCAAAAGTTAATGTTTCATTTGCTGATCATGAATTTCTTCATATATGATTGACAGTCTTTAGACGGAAAGAGGCTTGGCTCGCAGAAATCAATAACGATTATCTCATACTCGGCAGTTATAAGCCCCAACACAATATGGTTCGAGTTTGCTTATTTGTCTTATATGGAAATTACTATTGTGGCGTACTGACGCCAATTGGATCGTCACAGTGAATCTCTTGCATATGATTTATCATTTGTACTGTGCTGTATTAGAATGTGATGTAGACAAAGCAGAAGTTTGTCACACAGGAAAAGGGGTAAAAGTCACTTTACAACCATGTGATCAACCCCAGGCGCTTCCCGCTTCTCGACACAAAGGACAACAGTAGCACAAATACATTCCAATAACACCATTATCTGTTAGAGGCCATCAGCATAAAAGCAGCAATGTCATCATCATCCTGTTCACGCTTGTCCCTATCCATCCATTAGATATGCCGCGCGTCTCATTTCCGATTCACACCTTGCTCATTCACGCGCCTATCGTTCTACTCAGTGTCATCCTATTAATACATCCGAAGAAATTGCCATCTATAATTAAACGCATTATCGGCCTACCACTCTTAGTAGCTGAAATCTACATAGGATCCACATACTATTCTAAATGCTATGGATTTGATCTTCTGTATACGACAATAGCGATTGTCACCACATTGAGATTTTTCGATTTCTACTTTTTCACTTCATTACTTAACGGTAAAAATGTCTACGTGACAACGGCTGATCTGAAAGCGGAATTATGGCAACCTGTTAGATATAGAGCAATTGAAAAGAAAAAGAGTGAAAACGGGGGAAATCACCAAAGTAACGGAACCAATGGGAACGCCTCGCCGAAGATGATTGTCTCATCGTTCACGCTACTTCCGCCTGCTTTCTTGTTCCTTTTCATAAGTGATTGCATAAATTACTACTTTCATCGATTTACTGCCGACACACTATTATCATTATCATCTGTAGAATTATTTATAATGAATCTGATCGGTGGTGTTTACATTTGCACAATGATGGAAGGAGCATCTCGTCTTGGAGTGTTCGTTTGGACCTTGATCAACGATCGAGGTGTTTACGACAAGAGTGAATGGAAACCGCTATTCAGGCATCCATATTTGTCGACATCACTATCAGATTTATGGTCGGTCAGATGGCACCAGACGTTCCGTGTATTATGGGTTTCGCTAGCATACGTTCCGCTGAAGCAATTCATTAGTCAGAAACTACGACCATTATTGACGAAAAATAATAATTCCATCGCTAGTACCGTTGTGGATATGATGGAATTAGCTATACCGGCAATTGGCGTGTTCGCAATCAGTGGTTTAATACATGAATACATAGTGCGGTCAGCATTCTATTCTCTATGGATTCCAGGTCAAATGATGATGTTCTTCGTTCTCCAAGCGGTCGGTGTGATCATTGAGAAGACTTATCAAAGGCTTACACCCGGATTAAGCCGGCCGGTGTGGCTGGGAAGACTATGGACTCTATTATTTTTATATTTCACTTTGCCATACTTTTTTGAACCTCTTTACAAAGGAGAAGCATGGCGCGTTCATGAAGAATTGCCAAGTGTATTCAAAGCAATCGGTCTATGGACAAAGAGTTAGTCATTATATACAAGAATTATAAATTGCATTCTAGCATAACAATTCGACAAGGGGGAGTTTTGGTTTGTATTTATTTTAAAACTTTCGTTATAGTAATCTATTCGACAAAATAATAAGATATACAAGAACAACACCACAGAAATCTTTATAATGCATTTTTCGATTCTCTTCAGAATATAAAATTGAAACAAGAAAATAACCGAATATCAAATGATTTACAGTCCCATTATAAAATAATTATCAGAACGAAACATTCGTTCGAGAATATTACTAGTACATTATGACAAGCACTAAAAGTCCGTTTGAAAATGTAAGAGATCAACATGGTAACTTAAAAGTTTTCGCTGTACATTTGACAAAAAAAT